TGCATACATTTTCACAATCTCCCAGGGGCCATAGTCATGCGGGAGGAGGCTGGCAAATAGGCTTCTCCACAACCCAGGGAAGCAGGGCAATTTGCCATTTAAAGGGCCCGTTACAAATAGCAGTTTGTAACAAGGTGTCAATCCATATCTGCCAAGTGACCCGATGTAGGAGACAGTCCCTATTCTGCTCTGTGTCAGGTGTATCAGGGGCTCTGAGGACAGGTGTCAATCCATATGTCAAGGTGTCAATATGTCATATGTCAGGTGTCAATCCATATTGATTGTGATTTAGGAATGTTAGGTGATTTCTGCCCTTTATGGATTAAAACCAGACTCTGTATCAACTGTGTAATTTTCCATGGGAGTTTTGCCATGGATCCCCCTCCGGCATGCCACAGTCCAGGTGTTAGTCCCCTTGAAACAACTTTTCCATCCCTATTGTGGCCAGAAGAGTCCCTGTGTGTTTTAAAATTCGCCTCCCCATTGAAGTCAATGGCGTTTCGGGCGGTTCGCCGGTTCGCGAACATTTGCGGAAGTTCGCGTTCGCCGTTCGCGAACCGAAAATTTCGGGTTTGCGACATCACTAATCAATATCCTTCTGAAGATACGGTCTCCAATACTGCGTACAATACTCCAAGTGAGGTCTCACCAGTGTTCTGTACAATGGCATGAGCACTTCCCTCATTCTACTGCTAATACCTCTCCCTATACAAACAAGCATTCTGCTAGCATTTCCTGCTGCTCTATTACATTGTCTGCCTACCTTTAAGTCATCAGAAATAATCACCCCTAAATCCCTTTCCTCAGATGTTCAGGTTAGGACTCTATCAAATATTCTGTACTCTGCCCTTGGGTTTTTACGTCCAAGATGCATTATCTTCCACTTATCCACATTAAAGGACCACTCTAGGCACCCAGACCACTTCAGCTTAATGAAGTGGTCTGGGTGCCAGGTCCAGCTAGGGTTAAACCTTTTTTTATAAACATCGCAGTTTAGAAAAACTGCTATGTTTATAAATGGGTTAATCTAGCCTCTAAAGCCTCTAGTGGCTGTCTTCTCACTTATGAATGCTTTCCTATGAGACTGGCTGAATGCGCGCAGCTCCTGCCGCGCATGCACATTCAGCCGAAGAGGAGGATCGGAGCCGGAGAGGAGGAGAGCTCCCCGCTCGGCGCTGGAAAAAAGGTAAGATTTAACCCTTTCCTCTCCCCAGAGCCCGGCGGTAGGGGTCCCTGAGGGTGGGGGCACCCTCAGGGCACTATAGTATGTTTTCCTGGCACTATAGTGGTCCTTTAAATGTCAGTTGCCACAACTCTGACCATTTTTCTAGTTTACCTAAATCATTTGCCATTTGGCTTATCACTCCTGGAACATCAACCCTGTTACATATCATCAGCAAAAAGACATACCTTACCATCAAGACCTTCTGCAATATCATTAATAAAAATGTTAAAGAGAATGGGTCCAAGTACAGATCCCTGAGGTACCCCACTGGTGACAAGCCCTACCTTTGAATATACTTCATTGACTACAACCCTCTGTTGCCTGTCACTCAGCCACTGCCTTACCCATTCAACAATATTGGAATCCAAACTTAAAGATTTCAGTTTATTGATAAGCCTTCTATGTGCAACAGTGTCAAAAGCCTTACTGAAATCTAGGTAAGCAATGTCTACTGCACCACCCTGATCTATAATTTTAGTTACCCAATCAAAAAAATCAGTAAGATTAGTTTGGCATGATCTCCCTGAAGTAAACCCATGTTGTCTCTGATCTTGAAATCCATGTGTTTTTAGATGTTCAACAATCCTATCCTTTCACATGGTTTCCATCACTTTCCCCACTACTGAAGTAAGGCTTACTGGCCTTTAGTTACCCGACTCCTCCCTATTACCTTTCTTGTAAATGGGCACAACATTAGCTAACTTCCAATCTTCTGGGACTACTCCTGTTAACAATGATTGGTTAAATAAATCTGTTAATGGTTTTGCTAGTACACCACTAAGCTCTTTTAATAGCTTTGGGTGTATTCCATCAGGTCCCATTGACTTATTTGTCTTTACTTTTGACAGTTAAATTAGAACCTCTTCCTCTGTAAACTCAAGTGTAATAAATGACTCATTTATCCTTTTTCTTAACTGAGGTCCCTTTCCTTCATTTTCATCTGTAAATACCGAACAAAAATATTCATTAAGGCAGTCAGCTAGACCTTTATCCTCTTCTACATACCTTCCTTCTTTTGTTTTTAATCTAACTAATCCTTGTTTTACTTTTCTTTTCTCATTTATGTATCTAAAAAAAGTGTTGTCCCCCTTTTTTACTAACTGTGCTATTTTTTTCTTCTGTGTGTGATTTGGAAGCTCTTATAACTTGCTTAGCCTCTTTCTGCCATCTTCCTCACTCTGTTTTTTTTTTTTTTATAATTACTAAATGCTAACTTTTAGTTTTTTACTATTTTGGCCACATTTGCGGAGTACCACAGTGGTTTCTTGAATTCTTTGCTTTTACTGACAAGCCTAATGCAATTTTATGTTGCCTTCAGCAGTGCAACTTTTAAAGAATCCCATTTATCTTGGACTCCATTTAAATTGATCCAGTCTGATAATGACTCCTTTACACATATTCTACCCTCAGTGCCTCTCTCCACAACACCACTACCCTCAGTGCTTGTCTCCATAACACCATTACACTCTGAAAGTGCAGAAAATGAATTATGAAGAGCAACAGACTGCGCAATATGCCTTTTATCCACAACTCTAAGTCTATCAGATCCTACAGTAATCCATCTGCCATTCCTAGTATGTCTCTGCGGCAGTGGCATTGCAGAAGTTCCTGCCTGAGCTTGTTTGCCAGATAATTTACAAATCACAGACTTCAAAAATACAATCTCCTGCTGCAAGATAGAGAACTGTCTACAGATTAGACAACAACCAAACCTCCAAAAAGTGGAATGTGAAACAAATGCATAGCAACTATTACACTGAACTAAGTCTGCCATTCCAGTGAGGTGAATAATTGAAATCAAACAAATCTGTAGACTAGATGGGCCGAATGGTTCTTATTGGCCGTCACATTCTATGTTTCTAAGAGAGCCCAGACCTCTCTAGTTTTGACTAAGACATGTCCCATGCACTGGGTTTATCACCATGCACTTTTTAGCTATGTATGTTTCACGAACATACATAGTTTGTGTTTTTTTATTGTTTTCTTGTAAAAGCTGGTTGCACAAAGATGTATAGACAGTCTGTAATTTTCAGAGACAGGACACCAGAAGTCGTAACTGTCCCAACAAATCCGGTGCTTTTGGCAGCTATGCACACCCACCTATATGCAGGCCATTATAAGTGGAACCAAGGAGGCAGTGATGTACTGTGTTGCAGTACTGTGGTTAATTATTTTGTATGTAAAACTGTGTGTTTTCACAATTTTACATACTTTGTGTTTGCAGAATCTTTAGGCCTCTTAAGTGTCCTAGAGAAAGGGTTTAGAAAGAGGGAAAATAATGAGAAAATTGGGATTGTTCTATAAACAATTGACGGATATTGTAGAAGGATAACTGTCGGCACAAAAATATGTTTTGTTTGAAAGATTGCAACAGGTGTAGACATTTATATATAAATTCTTTAATGAAAAAATACAAAATAAAGTACCTTACTAAGCTTTCTATTTGGCATCCTCCCCCCCGCCCCCATCTTTGAAATGTAAAAAACAACAACAGACATACAGATTCACATGCATAAGTGTGTGTTTGCGTAGTAAATGCAGTGTGTTTGCGTAGTTAATACAGTGTGTTTGCGTAGTGGATGCAGTGTGTTTGTGTAGTGGATGCAGTGTGTTTGTGTAGTGGATGCAGTGTGTGCGCTTGTATAGTGTATGCAGTCTGTGTAGTGTATGCAGTGTGTGAATAGTGTATGCAGTGTGTGTATAGTGTATGCAGTGTGTGAATAGTGTATGCAGTGTGCAGTGTGTGTATAGTGTATGCAGATGCAGTGTGTATGTTGTGTGGAATAAGTGCTGCCACTTACCTGCCTGTCCCATCCTCCTTGACTGGTGGTCTGGTGGCACAGCATAGATGGGTAGTAAAGAGGGGCCCAGAACTCTGCATGCTCGTTTCCCATCCATCAGCAGCAGCAACAGGGACCTCTGTTCTCGCAATCCCCGAGAGCGTTGCCGCAGGTTGCTATGGCAACCCGCGGTAACGCTCTTACGGATCACGAGAACATAGGACCTACTGCTGCTGGATGGGAAATCGTGTGCATAATTTCATAAGTGGCCAGTCCCTTTACATAAGACACAGGGGCCTTTCACATGCCGCCCCTGTGAAAGTTCACCCTGGGCGCCCCCCTTAGTGAGTGGTACCCGGGGCGGACCGCCCACGCTGCCCCCCCCTTAGTACGCCACTGTTTATAGGTGCCCTCCCTTCTTAC